AAGAAGCTCCACAGCAACATAAACAACTTGTTCATGTTAACCTTGTGTATTCTTTGAGATTAAAGCCATTGCCTCTCTCTCCGTTTTTCTGTCCTCTCTGTTCCCTGCAGTTCACTATCAGATTCCCATTAAGTCGATCCTCTTTGTTGCTTATGGCCATGAACTGCTCCTTTAGAGATTATTTGACCACATGTCAAGTCAAGTCACCTTCATTTATACGCGCTTTTTGCACTATTTTTCAAAGCAGCTTTACAGTTAAATTACCGTAACAGATTGTTTAGGCTTTACAACAGCATTGGGATAAAGTTATTGTGCGGCTAAAGTTAGTTTGGATTCACTTCCGTTGCAAAGATTATGGTTTTTAACTAAGTTGTGCTAACACAACATCGTTCTAACAGAAAACACACGCGCTCCGGTCGCCCATGCGCACAAAACAGTGCCTGGTGTCTCGAGAACGCAAACCCTGAAATAGGTTTGAACGTTTCTCTCTGAATATTCGTGTTTTACAAAAGAGTGTATACGTTACTTACCACACATGCTTTTATTTCGAAGTCCGTGAAAGGAAGTGCAGTGGCGAGTTGGCGCACTTTACGCTAAGTTACTTTACACGAGAAGGGAGATGAACTTTTGGGTACACACTGTGAAAATATAGCTTGTATGTAAAAATGCTTCTTTCTACCTCTTACCTCCTGGCTGATGAAGGACAAGGTGTCGTTTTAATATTATGCTGTCTGCAAAACTTTGAGACTAAAGTGTTTATCGTATCAATCTCCTTCGAAGCTAACGTTTAGTGGGTCGTTAGCATACTGTGTTGTGCAGGTTTAGACATAGATAGGCTATACATAATAAAGGCTAGATGTCTTGACTGCGCTGTTGGCCAATGGAGGTCGACGTCCACACCGGGCGGCCATGTTGTCACAGGCAGCTCGCTCACTTATAACATTATGCATTATAGTTCAGACAAACAAAAGTGTTTGTCTGAACTTTGTTGCTATTTAAAGGAGTAGTTCACTTTTAAAGAAAAACTGTTGCTGATAATTTACTCACCCCCATGTCATCCAATATGTCTTTCTTTCTTTGAAAAGGTCGAAAAGAAATGAAGGTTTTTTAATGAAAACATTCTAGGATTTTTCTCCATATAATGGACTTCAATGGGCACCAAACGGTTCAAGGTCCAAATTAGAGTTTCAGTGCAGCTTCAAAGGGCTTTAAACGACACCAGACGATGAATAAGGGTCTTATCTAGTAAAACGATCGGTCATTTCAAAAATAAATAAAAAAAGTTTTAAGTTTTATAAGCATAAATGCTCGCCTTGCTCTGTGCTGTGATTCGCGTTCGTAACTCTCCTGCTCAAACTCGTTCATCAAAAAAATGAATGAATCTTTTTTGAGTCATTTTGTTCGAACGAAATGACTCGAAAAAAAGATTCCTAAATTTTATGATTGTCTGGTGTTGTTTAAAGCCCTTTGAAGCTGTACTGAAACTTGATTTGGAACTTGAACCGTTTGGTTCCCATTGAAGTCCATTATATGAAGAAAAATCCTGCAATGTTTTCATCAAAAACCTTTCAAATTTTTTTTCGTTTGAAGAAAGAAAGACATGGACATCTTGGATGACGGGTGAGAGTAAATTATCAGCAAAAGTTTTTAAACTCAACTACTCCTTTTAAATAGCAACTCCACCATAGTTCAGACAAACACTATGTTTCACATTACTTGCTGTTTCTTCTCATAAATCAACACCGCAGTGGAGTTCAGTTATTTCGGCCTTTAACTGGGCCTTAACTCTCCAAATATTAAAACTTCTCTTTTAATGATGATTTTTAGCCTGCCCACCAGTGGCTAAAACTGATTAATCTCTGTGCTGGAAAAAGAGAGGAAAATTGAACAGCATAAAGGGAACAGATTTATAGTATATGGAAAGTTTGACAGTTTACTAGAATTAGGAAATGGATGGCATGGTATATCTAGAACCTGTGATCAGTAAACAGGCAGGTTCTTCACAGAGATAAAAGGATTTTCTCAAAAAAGAAATCGAATATGTCAGATTTGTATTGAGATCAAGGATTAGTTATCGTCACTGCAGTAAGATGTGGCAACATGTGATTGTGATTATGTCAAAGGATTAGGCTACAACAAACATCTAATTCTGGTAATGAACTGTCAATTATGATTCAAAAATATGAGTTACTAATGAAATTATGAATACATTATGGGCACTTTCCTGTGAATATAGGGCTATCTATTAAAACGTTTCCACCACAGAATAAAAAAAGAAAGAAAAAGAGTCATAATTGTGAGATAAAAAAAATTGCAATTACCTTTTTAAATAAGACTTATACAAACTGTTGCACTGTTTGCATTATAAACTTAGACTTTGAAAACATCTGTTGAACTAATTGAATTGAAATTAAGACATTTTAATGACCAAAACATTTTTTTCCCATGCAGTTTTACTGATTTATTATTTTTTTTAAAGTATAATAATTAATAATTTTATACACTTTTTGTATTTACATGTAATGTTTACTTGTTATTTGTAAATAACTATTATTTACTTTTAATGGTTATTAGGAAAATTTCACAAATTAAAGTTTCAATCTTTTTTGAGGTTGCAAACAAGGTTGCAAAACTGCAAACATTCTATATAACAAAACTAATTCTCCCTTTACTGATCATTTGTTGAAAAAAGCAAAAGAAAAAAAAAGAAATATAAAAATAGTTTCAGGCTCTATTTTGTAAGTATGTAAAAATTGCACATTAACACAACACCATTAACGCAACAAACAGGTTTTGTCGTTTAGCATCATTGCTATTTTGCAGAGCAGTCAATTAGTTTTTAAGTTTCTTGGTCCAGTGTATTTTGGTATTATCTTTATTCATTTAGAATACAGTACAATGTCACAGGTGGATACACAGATTTTGTGCACTCGGTTAGCACGCTTCACAAGGTGAAATGAATGTATAACGTTACGTTGACCCTCCTCAGAGAGCGCAAGTTGCACTAATAAACATAAGTGTGGCACATTGATTATCCACATTCAAAAAATAGTTCATCCCAAACAGAAGTATTTTCAGACCTGATATGAACACCATGTCATCACTGTAAACAATATTCTTTATGATATGAAATATGAAAAACAGCATATAAGGCAAAGTAAGAAACGTCACAGGACAACATTCAACACGCTCGATGTCTCAAGTATCGAAATACTTGTTTATATAAATTAAATGTGTGCAGAATTCGTGTGCATGTCTCTTTAGAAATACACAGAAATGTGGCATACATTTTGAATAAAGCCTATGTCATATATATATATTGCCATCTCTTTAACAAAAATAATGATGCTCTACATGTACGTACATAAACATCTTGATAATTCATGTAATATACAAAAAATCTGGCTATAATAAAAATGACTTCAATGCAAAATTACTAAAAATCTTGGATACTAAAGTGCTCTACAGATAATAAACTACTGGTCTCTATGACTAATGAGAAAAGAGTGCCATCCTTTTTTGCACAATCATGTACAAACCAACATTCTCATTAAAATCCACAGTTAGCATTTCCTAGTCGCTTTCATGTATTGCTTAAATATACACTCAATATTTTCCACCCCAGGAAACAACAAATCTCATAAAAATGTATGCATTTTAGATAGCCTTTTTCATGATGCCAAGTAGACATGAAATACTTACATATAATATGCTTTAGGATCTAATCTATCCATATATTTTGAATGATTCATTTGAGTCCCAATTAAATAGGGAAGATAAGTTTAATGTACAGGTGTCCCCCAGTAACAAGTGTGTGTTTTATGAGAAATGTCTCACAAAGAAGCTTTTAAACAAAATATGTGTCCTGTTGACATCAAGCAAGGCAAAATCAAGAAGGCATCTGTTTGAGTTTCATTTGTCTTGCGTCTCAAGAGAAAAGTAAAGAAGTCTTTGAGTTACGTAATCAAAACACTTTTTTCCAGGTAACTAGTAAAGTAACGCATTACTTTTAAATTTACAACTAAACATCTGTTACTTTTTCAAATAAATAACGGAAGTTACTTAATGTTTTCCCATTTATTGACTGACTGACATTTGAGAAAAACAAATTCGGTATTCCCCAAAATTAATATGTTGAACTGGATGATCGAAGGTCAGCGGCAAAGTCATTGCTTAATAAAGTGAGGTTAAATACATTAAAGGAGTAGTTCACTTTAAAAAAAAAAAAAAAAAAAAAAAAAAAAACTTTTGCTGATAATTTACTCACCCCCATGTCATCCAAGTCGAAAAGAAATTACGTTTTTTGATGAAAACATTCCAGGATTTTTCTCCATATAATGGACTTCAATGGGAACCAAACGGTTCAAGGTCCAAAAGACAGTTTCAGTGCAAACTGCTCAAAGGGCTTTAAATGATTTCAAACGACGAATAAGGGTCTTATCAAGCGAAACGATCGCTCATTTAAAAAAAAACAAAAAACAAAGTTTAAGTTTTATAAGCTCAAATGCTCACCTTGCTCTGTTCTGTGATGCGCGTTCGTGACTCTCCTATTTGAACTCATTCATTAAAATGAACAAATCTTTTTTTCGTGTCATTTGGTTCTTTCAACGAACGAAATGAAAGAGCTGACTCTGGAAAAGATTTGTTCATTTTGATGAACGAGTTCGAATAGGAGAGTCACGAACCCGCAGTTTGCACTGAAACTGTCTTTTGGACCTTGAACCGTTTGGTTCCCATTGAAGTCCATTATATGGAGAAAAATCCTGGAATGTTTTCATCAAAAACCTTAATTTCTTTTCGACTGAAGAAAGAATGACATGGACATCTTGGATGACATGGGGGTGAGTAAATTATCAGCAAAAGTTTTTTTTAAAAAGTGAACTACTCCTTGAAGTATATTTGTGTAATTTAACATATTTAATTATTACAGGTTTGCGTAATATTATGAGTTTGCATTTCAGTGTTTAGTATTTCTAAAGGAGCAAGTAGAGGTAAGTTAGTGTGATACATCTAAGCATTCAGCAAAGGCTCTGTGTTTTTTTTTTTTTTTTTTCCATTCTTTTTTTATGAGCAGCTGTTGTGAATAATTAATTCAGTTGGATCTGATTTACTAAGCACAAATAAATCTGGGAGAGATGGGGTTACCAGCCAATCCGCTAATGATATAATGAGAATTTCCTTATCAGCCGAGTGCTATTCTGCCTATTCTAGACGAGTCTTAAATAATAGGCTATTCTCTGGTTAACATTATTAGCTTTCTCATTTCTGTTAATGAATAAGTAATTGTGCCTGTGTAATGGAGGAAACCTGTACACTGTTGTCCTGTGACTCCTCTTGGACTGTCACTCGACCGTAGTGCTTGTGTGAGCGCTTAGACGTGCGTTTCCGTCCATTGCATATTTCATTTATACCTGGACATCCAAATGTAAGAGTTCCATGGTGCTGTAACTAACAGCTAAATCAATTCATGCCCTGGGCTGAGGTGAAAACTAATGTTATGCCCTGGAAAATGCCCTTTAACAGAATGACACAGCTGATACATATTCAAACCCTGACATTCACATTTTAAACATTATTCACACCTTAGATAATCCGTTTCATGATCATCAAGTCATCCAACGTCTGTTTCCCAGGAAAAAACACTGAACGACGTCACAAATGGCACATTCATATGGACATATGAACAATATATTTTGAAACCGAAGTGAAACACTGATATACCACAGTGTTTGCTGTCCGATTATATTGATACACATATTCCTTACACTGCAAACTAATAGAAACATCATGATCATCCATTTAGGTTAGGCGACGAGCTTAAATGGACATCGATTTGGTTCAGAAACAACCATTAAATAGTTTCCTGATATGTCACAAATCAGATACTCCTTATATCCCGTGTCTTACGTAATCATTTGGTATAATTGCCTGCCAGTCGTGTCATTTCAATTCAAAAGCTCCTACGTGATAACTACAGTGCAAATGTTTGCAAAATGTAACGGTTACATTTGCACCGACGAGCGTTGTTGATCATTCAGAACAGAAAGCCTGAAAATGCATAGTGTATTTCAGGTGAAAAGAGAAATAATACTTAATACTCTATGTCACTAGTGGTATAGCATTACTTTTGGGTTGTTTCACGCCCCCTTTGACCATATGCAGTACTACTACAATCATCTCAGGCGTGTGCAACAGGTAAAAATCCACGAAAGTTACTCGACAAACACAAGACTAACATTGCATGACATGAGCATGCCCTAAACAGCCCTTATTCTCATGCAAAGGGATCAGTATACTGGATGTAAAATGTCAGAAACGGCCTCTGCTCCATATCCAACTCGGGTCCTTCTCCGGTAAGATTTGTTTTGGGATCTTCTAGGTGAATGGATGCACAGCTGAGCTCTACTGGTGCGTCCAGGCTATTGTAAATCCATGCATCGTCATGCATTGATCCTCGGTTGGAGATGTCCATGCGGCCAAACTCAACCAGAACACACTGAAGAGGAAGGGGAAACTTTTTCGGGGGGGATCCATTACTCTTTCGCTCTTTTCCTGTACTTTTCATTGGGGGTAAGACACAGTATGTGTGCGTTAACATATTTGTGTGCATTCTGTTTTGAAACTGCTGCCAAATAATAATAAAAAAAAAAACATGTCCAGTGTAGCTCGTCTCAAAAATATTTCAGTCACCACATTTGGATTTCACGTAAATTAAATGAACTTTACAGTTGCTCCAGTTTGAATGTGCATGTGTGCGTGATTGTTTTTTTTAAGCAATTTTTGTCACTGTCATATGTTGAATTGAATCTATGTCGTGAGCGGTCCATACGTTACTTCATGCCACTGCGAAGCACCTGATTGGCTGCAATGAGCATGACACTGATGATGAAAGCAATCGCGAAGGCGCAGATCAGACTCTTCCGTACGCATGTTTGCTTCACCTGCTGGGTTGGACTCTCCGCTGAAGAAGCAGAGAGAAAACAAATAAGATCATCAAGAGGGGTTGGAGATGGTGACTTGATATTAAATTAAAAATATGTGAAGGTTTCAAAAGTGTTTGAGCTCCAAAACTGTTCTAAAACTTAGTGAGCTCTAATACCTAGACAATATTTTTAGGCAGCATACTTCAGGTCTTTTCATGAAAATCCATTAAATATGATAGACACAGTTGAGGGAAAGGTCAATTAGAAATGTACATTATTTTGCCAAGTACTGAAAAGTCATGATCAAACATTGATGGTATCGTCTCCAAAACTGGTAATTAAAGGGTTAAAATCCTAAAATTAAATACATATTTGGTAGTTATGATGAGGACTGATGCTGGTTAAAAGATTTAACTTGGTAAAAGTGGAAAATAATAATAATACATAATATTTTAGGCAATGTTTAATATGTGGCCATTTTTGGTCTTTAACGCGCTAAGTGTGATTTTTTTTTTTTTTAATCTGACATAACACAAAATCTTTAAATGCACCAGAAATAATGTTGCTGCTAATATTTAACATATTCAAGACTGTGATAATCCAAATCTAAAGTTTTCTCTTTGCATTTAGTGTATTGAAAATAATTAAATTTTTGTGTTTTTTCCTCTATACAAATTGATATCGCCACCAAAACTGGTAATTAAAGGGTTAAAATTCTAAAATTTAATAAATATTTGGTAGTTATGATGAGGACTGATGCTGGTTAAAAGATTTAACTTGGTAAAAGTGGAAAATAATAATAATACATAATATTTTAGGCAATGTTTAATATGTGGCTATTTTTGGTCTTTAACACGCTAAGTGGGATTTTTTTTTTTAAATCTGACATAACACAAAATCTTTAAATGCACCAGAAATAATGTTGCTGCTAATCTTTGACATAGTCAAGACTGTGATAATCCAAATCTAAAGTTTTCTCTTTGCATTTAGTGTATTGAAAATAATTACATTTTTGTGTTTTTTCCTCTATACAAATTGATGGTATCACCACCAAAACTGGTAATTAAAGGGTTAAAATCCTGAAATTGAATAAATATTTGGTAGTTATGATGAGAACTGTTGCTGGTTAAAAGATTTAACTTAGTAAAAGTGGAAAATAATAATAATAAATAATATTTTTGGTCTTTAATGCACTCAATGGCATAAAAAATCTAATGCAGCACAAGGGTTAAAAAAAAAAATACTGACCCCAAACTCAACAGTAGTGTATGCCTAGTTCAAAATTCTAGGATTTTTGGGGTCTTCCTCAAACAAAATTCCAATTTAAACAGTTATACACCCAACATAATTAATCAAAATGATGAAATTATGATTTTAACAAGAAAGTAATAATACTAGAAACTGTATCTCAGCCAGAGCTGTGCATTATTAAAAAGAAAGAAAAAAATTCTTACTGTCAATGTCAACCTGGCAGTCCCCAGGATTTTCGATGTGATTCTCCTCTGTCATGATGATATTCTCAATGTCCTTCATAGACAGGTGGTCACAGAAAGTATCATATAAGAGTCTCTTCAGCTCTTCCACAGTCAGCTTCTGCATATCACACTAAAAAACAAAAAATTTCATTCTGTAATTCTTTAACCGATCTTCAATGGCCTGAATGCATTACTTTACTTTACTGTACATTAATGCATTTAGTTGACACTTTTATCCAAACAGACTTACCTGGCATTAAAGGTATTTTTATCAGTTCATGCATTCCCTGGGAGTCAAACCCATGGCCTTGTTGACGAGTTCACACTTACAAATAATCAGATAGAGTAAAAGAGTGTGCAAATTTAGTGTGCTCTCCGAGGAGAGGGCTCCAAGCTCAGAATTTGTTAATAAAACATCATGTGTTGCAAACACCATGCTCTGTTTGGAGCTCACAGTCAAAACTTGATATTAAATTTGACATGCAACCAATTTCACTTCCATTTGCACCATATTTTTGAGTACAAAATTAGGTCCCACTTTATATTAAGTGACTTTAAATACTATGTAATTACATTGAAATTAATAATTCGATACAATGGACTTATTGTGTACATACATGGTTTTACATTGTACTTACATTTTAAAATTCCAGCATGTAATTCCAGCTATAATTAATTTATGTAATTACACAGTTGACCCTCCCCTCACACCTTAACCTACCCTCAAACCGACCCATACCACCACACCTGTCCCTAACCTTACCCGTATCACACCTCAATAGCAGCAAAAGTGTTTTACAATACAACAGGAACACAATAATACATTGTACTTATTGTTCAATGTAAGTATATAGTACTTAAAGCCACTTAATATAAAGTGGGACCCAAAATTATATTCAATATAAAAAATATGATTTTGTCTTTCAGAGTTTAAAAGTGTCAGAGGTAGTTGAAGGAAAGGGGTGTTAAAATAACATGTACTGATGAACTGCGAACTAAGAATGTGTAATAAGTTGATTTTGATTTCATGCACGCAAATTCATAGCACTGAACTCATAATTACACAGCGAGATGTTTAAGAGGGAGAACCCTTTAGCTATTTGGGGTCAAACACACTGCTAAAAAATGCACCAGCAGTGAGCTGAGATTAGAGAAACTCATCCTTGGGGTAATCACCATATGGCCCTTACAAATGATATTCTGCTCTTCTCACTTGGAGACATGCAGCGGAAGAGACCCCGTTATAAAATCGATTAATAAATCTTATTTAAAGTCATCATGTCTGAATTTGAAATGTATTCAGATTTGTAGGTTTTGTAACACTTTATTTTGATTATACTAAGCAACTATATAAGAAAATACATGTCAAGAAGCTCTCATTTGAGTGTTAGTAGAGTATTAGTAGTCTGCCTGCTTAAAATCTGCTAAAACTTTATTTTGATGGACCCCCAACAGACATTTTACTAACTATAGCTTTGCAACTTCGTCAACTTAATACTAACCCGAACCCTAACCCATAAACTAATCTTTTAACAGTCTACTAATTCTCTAACGAGAGTTACTTGACATAGTTGCAAAGTTAAATGTCTAAAGTGGACTATCGAAATAAAGTGGAACAGTAGATTTTGCTCATGTTTAAAGGATAGGAGGCCAATTCTATTAAGCTGATTCATGTCTGTTTGTGTGATTTCATAGAGAGAATTGAAAGCAGGGCCTAAAATGAACACCTGCCAAGCACCAAATACAGTGTTGGTGAGTATATGAAATGGTGTCAATCGGCAGTTAGCCGGTTACGTTTTTTATGAATGCTAACAATGCAATGTTGTGAGAACATGAACAAACGTGAATGCCTAGGACAGTTGATGGCCAACGCTGGATCATCACGAAAGTTTAAGCCTTGGCATTTTAAATATTCATGCACAAGAAGAGGCGAAATGAAACTTGGTTCAAAATGAAACTCGCGCGGTGTTTGGGAATTTTTTTTGTGCGCAAACATCCGAAGAGTCCGCCCACAAATCCGAATCAGAGAGAGCGTGCAATTAGTCTATTGATTTCTCTTTCAGGTCTTCTTGCGCTTGAACAGACATATTTAAACAAAATTATGCCCGTCTTGGGGAGTATCCTCGTAAACATAGTCAGTTATGCCTAAAGTGAACATAAACAGCATGATGGATCCGTGCATTAGCTCTTAAAGTGACAGCAGCCTAACCTTCCTTCTGCTGTCTGTGTTTGATGTTAATCAAAAGACAAAAAGGAAAAATCACTCACTTTCCTTGACTGAATAACTTTTGTAACTTATTGATAAGGATTAATCCATGTTTAATTTAACAATTTAACACAATGCAGTGTTATTTCTGCATTTGATTCATTAAATTTCTGTGCCTGAAAAGTGAATTTTTTGATGTCATGACTGCCTGTTTTTGCCAGAACCGTTTTAGCAGGTCTGGCAAACAGTTAGTTTCAGGCCCTGATTGAAAGTGTCTATCTAATCTAGATGTAGTTTTGGTGTGACAGATGCAGCAGATTTTGTGGCTGTTGTCACTTTAAATAAGAGAGAAGTGGCTAATAATCACCTTCCAGAACACAGAGTCAAAATCGGTTCCGTTGAACTTGTCAGGCATCCCGGCAGCCGTGAGTTTGGGCCCCAGGAGAGTAACAAATTCCTCAAAATCCACCTGGCCGTCTCCTAAAAAACAGACCGTGAAGTATTAGATGGATTCTAGCATGATATATCACACTTTAAAAAATGTTGGGTTGTTTCAACCCAAATTTGGGTCAAATATGGACAAACCCAAATGTTGGGTTAAAAATGTATTTCAAAAATTTACAGCTGAAAGTGAAATTTGAAGTTGGGTTAAAATTTTAAATTACATTTTTTAACCCAACATTTGGGTTTGTCCATATTTGACCCAAACTTGGGTTGAAACAACCCAGTATTTTGCAAGTCCCAATTGTTGGCTATGGATATCCAGTATAGAAATGGATAGAAGTATATTTTCTGTCAGGGTTGTGAGTTATTTAGAATTTAATTGAGAATGCCTGCATAGAAAAATCCTGCATTTTAATCAAATTTGCATTGAGAAAATGCCTATAAACACTCAAATAGAGTGGAGTTTCCCAACTTGGCGTTTACGAACTGCTGGTGGTTTGGGTTAATGAAAAGATAATAATTAATTAAATCCTAAAAATAAAATTAGTCAAATAAGTGAAATAAAAATTAATCTCTTACTAAAGAAAGATTAGAATTGTATTAGATACAATATTATTAAGATATACATGAATTAAAAGATTAAATATTTTATTTGTTCATCTGTCATGTGACTTAACTATTCATATTTCACTTTCATTTAATGGATCATGGTAGAAGCATTTTTTTATTCTGTATGAGTTTGGAGAAGTATGTCTAATCAGTTGAGAAAATATTCTCTATGTGAGAGTAAACAGTTGTAATTAGGCACATTTAATGAATAATAATAATAATAATAATAATAATTAGTTGTTTTGGCACAAATGTTGTACTAATGACACTCCTCGGTTAAAGAATTGTACTATTACTGTTCAATATTTGTGAACTGCGATTCCGCAATATCAATTTACTGACATTCCAAGTCAATTTTAGTAGTGTGGCCAATTCAAACTCTTTCATTAAAACAAAGCCATTTCTTACGCTTTGCATGAATTATCTTGCTGCTCATGGTATGGTTGGTCAACTTTTCCTTTCTGGATCGATTAGTTTATCTACATTTCTCTCTTTTTTTGTGTCACCTTTATTATTTGAAGTGTCAGAACGAGCGTAACTTCATTGAGTGTGTTTTATGGAGCTGAAAGGCCCTCTCTGAGACGTTCTTTAAAGCACCGCCACTACAGCCATCAAAGCACCGCTTTCACCTTCAATTCATTTCAAGACAACTAACTTCAAACTTCAAAACGCCTACTGTCAAAAACTGTTCTCATTATCTGCCCATGCATAATTGCATGTCTCCATGCATTATGAGGAATATGATAGTTTGGGGCAATAAAAAGTCACAGTTGTTCAGCTTTTCTATTTGTTGAATATCTGTCAATTGTGTTTAGCATCCCTACAGTGCAGAGAAATGCATCTGATTGGTGACTGTTGGGCTTCAAGGAATAATTCACCCCAAAATTACAAAAAAACAATCATTATTTACTTATTCCTAACTTGAATGTGTCTCGAAATGTCTTATTTTGTGATCTAAAGAAAAAAGAAAGTCATACTGTAGGTTTGGAACAATATGAGCAATGAGCACATGCTGATTAAATCTCATTGATATTTCTTGGATAAACTCTCTCGTTAACTCTTTCCCGCCATTGAAAAGACTTTCCATAATTTATGACGCAATGCTTCCCCATCATTTAAGTTTTCCGGCAATCCATGTTTTCACTGTTGTACTGTTGGTATGGGGCTGTTATGGATTGTTTGGAATAGTACTACATCTCCAGATCCAAACACAAGTGAAGAAGAGGATCTGCATAAACCGGAAGGAGCAGATAGAAGATTGCACACACTAAGCCAATGTGATCATCAAACATTCAACAGAATATAAATTAAAACTGCCTCACGTTACCAAGCAAAATGTCAAACTCATGAAGAATTAAGTGACTGTGAAAGCTTTGGGGGTGTTGATGGCCTCGATCTACTCAATGTTTTGATCATCACTCTGAATCCGATCGATAACTCAACGCATTCTCATCCCAAGGCATCATATATGACACTTTTGCCAAAGCGTAGACATCCAACGCACCCTTTAGCGTCAATTGAGACGCTTCGGTTATGGCAGGTTTAGGTATGGGGTAGGGTTAGGGTTAGACCACTAGGAGGCGCCTTCTGCCCCATATATATCTGCGTCTCATTTAACGCTAAAGGGTGCCATGTGCGTTGGATGTCCACGCTTTGGCAAAAGCGTCATATTCGTATATGACGCCTTGGGATGAGAACGGGCTCGATAATTAGGTTCGCAACAAATTTGCATAATGCCAGCCTATGGTAATACTCATTGGCTGTCCGCAAAAAACGCCGACTTAGTTGACTCGCCCTCAAACACTGTAGATGTAGCTGAGAAGCAGCCACTGTTGCCAACTATTTTCAAAGGAAAGTAGCCAACACCTTGCCTAAAAGTCGCTAAATGTCGCTAGATGACGTCATACGTCAATTAGCATATCAATGTCGTCATCGCGTCGTACTTGCGTTCTGTCTGCCTAATGTGTTTTCTCTCTAAATGAATGCTTTAATATAATATAATATAATATAATATAATATAATATAATATAACCGAATGTCAATAAAGCATTCTCATTTCCTTTTTTTTTTTGTCAGACAACAGATTGAGTAGCTATGATATAGTGAATGACAAAAAAATGTATAGGCCTATGTGGAACATTATATGAATTGAGAGAGTTGGGGAACCTGATGAACTAAGCTTTGTGATAGTGAGTATTACTAGTAATAAGCTCAAGAAAAGAAAGGAAATTGAAATGGTCAAACTAAATTCTTTAAATATAAAACAAAAGAAAAGCAGATAAGTGATAAGACCATGGAAAAACTCATTCGCATCTGTCAGCACCTGTGCGCTCTTCTCAAACACAGGGAGAAAGCAAGACCTCGCACTCGTAGGACAGTACTGGCAATATTTGGAGGTTACTGAGGTTTGTTCAAAAACTCGCTAAATTTGTCGCTAGTCGTAGACATCATCGCTAAATTTGTCGCTAGTCGTAGACTTTCAAAAGTAGACATCTTTTGAAAAATGTCGCTAAAGGGGTCTGAAAATTTGCTAAAAATAGCGACAAAGGCGCTAAGTTAGCAACACTGGAAGAAACATGTCATGTTGTTGACATGTCGAGAAGACGTTATTTACTGCACTGCGAATCCACGTTGCATGCACTTCCAAAGGACAAGGACTTGCGCTCGAATGGATACATTGAAACTGGCGCTGTTCATATCACTGTGTACAAGTACTGGGAAAGCCTCGAGAGCTGAAATTCAGATATAATGGGAGTTTAGTTAGTGATGCGCGATGCAAGCGGTAGACAAATCACAACAGACTGGACCATCTTCTGACCAATCAGAGCATATAGCCTTTCGGAAAGGAGGGGTTTAGAGAGACTGAATCCTTTATCGAGCTGTTTTAGACACTGTGAGAAAAGAGGTGATGCTGCAATATATATTATGAGAAAACTTGAAGTGTTTGTGACCTTGGATGCATGTGAACCTGTTGTAGGAAACCTTTAAAGGGTACATATCATGCTTTTAAATCATTCATTTTTACTTATAAATCATACATTTGTGGTCTATATAAAGCATAACTGCAATGCTTGGGTCTGAATTCCTCATTATTATAGCTCCACAGGCCCCTTTTCTGATGTGCGTCTGTGAGCGACCCGTTTCAAAGCGGCCCCTTTAAAAAAATGGAGTTGCGTCTTTTCCCTCGGTTCAACTCCCCACGTTCGGCCATTATTGTAGTTTGATTAGAGATATACAATTATATACTATAGCTTCAAAGAATATTTTTAGTCACTCGTTAACAAAATGTCAACAACGGAAGACTTGTCCATCAAGCCTTACATATTCGAGCCAGAGCGAGCGATTTCATAAAGACGACGACGAACCTGCAGAACAACGTCTTCATATGGATGCAGTTGTATGCAAGTTAACTATGTTGTGTTATTAGTGAAAGTAGACTATTTTTCTGGTTAAAACAAGCACACTGACAAGATAAATGACTGCGGTCCAATCTTACCACTAAAAATCTGTATTAATAATAATATAATAACTTGCGTGTAGAAAAGCATCAGAAAACACAGCAGCTAAATGATTTTACCCCTCATTCAGACGAAGTCGATCGGCAAACCCTTCTTTATACTGGCGGAGGTTGTTGAAGTGGGAATCCTTGAAGTGCTTCAGGTCACTACATCCAACAACCAAACATTTTGACTTGCCCTCTCGTAACTTCTGCTTCATTGAGCTTGGACTACAAAATCGGAGCGAGAAATAATAATGGCGGATTGCTCGAAGTGTTGGGCCGGTAGTCAATGTCCTTATTTGTCCGTTCCGCTGCAAATACGGTGACGTCAAAAAACGTCATAGAGAACACAAAAATCTGAAAAGGTTGAAAAATATGACCAAAACAGAATATAAAGATATAAATGAAGCACCTGAAGAGAATAATTTCATCTTTTCTGTACTTATAAAAACTCCAAATATACAACAAAATGCATTTAAGGGCTAAAAAAAGTGGATTTTGCATGATGTGTCCCCTTTTCAAAATAGCATAATATGGTCACCCTGGTGGGAACATCAGCACACCAGCATCCCATCCTAAAGACGTCTAGCTATTCTGGTCTTTTCTCTTTCCAGTCCATTCACAGTTTGTGCAAGTGTCTCCTCACCATCCATGTCGAGTCTCTGAATGATGACCTCTAGCTCGACCTCATTGGGCATGTACCCTAGAGAACGCATGGCCATGCCGAGCTCCTGCTTTGAGATGAAGCCGTTCCCATCTCGATCAAACACCTTAAACGCCTCCCGGATTTCTGAGGAAGAGAGTCACACACAGATCTGTAAGACGGTGCTTTATACCTCCAATTTTAAACCAGTATTACTCTGCAACATTATTATTTAAGACAGATATTAAAATCATCACACCGAAGTGACTCAAAGAAAAGGAATGATTACAGTATATTGATTTTTCCCACAATAATTCACTTTCTGCAGAGCACAGCCTTTGTACTTGATGGATTTCAAACAAAGAAACAGGACGATTTCCGTAACATTCGCATAGGCTTGTTAAACGACGGGAAAATGCCGCAATGCACACGGTCGGTTGAGCCAACTTGTTTCACCGTTTATGCATTATACATCATCATTAAGTCATTTGCAATTTTCCACTTGTCACGCCATGATGCCATATTCATAATTATGAAATATGCACCACACAGGCTGCAAGATATTGCTATAAATCCAGATAATATATTCAATACGGAGTGTGAACTGGAGTATTCGGTACTAAGGCTTGCTCACTGTGCTGTAGGTTTGATAAATGGCTATTTGGACATGTGGTCCAAACAAAAACACATTAAGTCTATCGGATATTAGGGAGGAAATATGAGAAAAATACAAGAAATGATGCCACTGCGGTCCATAGCAATAGCAACAGATGGAGAAAGCAACTTTACTCCACATTACGGTGGAAGTAAGCGGGTTTTAAATGGAAGTGAAGTGTGGGCTCTATTTTGCGCATTTCAAAGCAAAACTGTTTAGCTGCAAGCAACACATTTGGATTTGCAAAAAAGAAATGAAGCAAAACAGGATGGTTCTAATATGCCCTATCAACCAGACGGGAGAAAATCAAACAGGATATTCAGACTCATTTGCAGATTTTAATGATCATTAACATGCTCATATTATCACCCATCTTTTAATGTGTATGCAACTTTTTTTTCAACTTTTAGACTTTTTAGAAGTGCCATGAATGCAGTCCATGTATGAAATTAAAATTCTAAACAAATTTTATTAAATGATTTAATACAACGAAATTATAAATTAACTGAACCAGTTACTTAGTTATAGTTAAGGACATAAATCTGCATATATGAAACAAGATACAGCAAAAAAGTACCTTTTATGTGTTCTACAAAACAACTGCTAGTGTCTATAAATAAAGATAAATATTAAAGATACATTATGTCCTGTATATATTATAATACCCTGAATAATATAATTTTTATATAATTTATCTTGAATGTTTTTTTGTTGTTGTTTTTTTTGTAGCCCCTTAACTGTCACCGTCCCGCTACCGGGACGCCTAACTTTACTTCACTATATTTCAAATAAATCCTAATCTAATTATGACAAATTATATATCGTTGGAAAGGTCAAAGGCTTCTAAATAAATATTCTACCCCTGTTTTGTGTTCCAAATTATGTAGGAAGAGTAATTGATGAATTTATGACAAGAGTGCACCTCAAAAAATCTTAAATCTCAATAAATAAAGAAATGTTTTGTAAAATATATATTTTATATAAAATAAAAAATATATAGTACAGTATATTTGATTTACTGTAAATATAATATGCGCTGCAGCTTTGAAGTTGAATACTAGGCCTATATAGGCTAAAGCGTGTCTCGTGTTTTTAAGATCAAAAACGCGTTCTGTGTGATCATCCCCTTCCACCTATCAGTCACTACTTCTGGGACAGGCGTAAGACATAAAATATTTTGTTCAATTTAACAGAAAGTGTGTGCGAATAAAGATTAATAAAGATTTTAAATAATACCTTTTTTTTAATAATTACAGTTTTTTAAGTTTAAAGATTTCCGATGACTGACATCACAAAATTTACTGGTATTTTGGTGCTAATGTGTGAATTGTCTCTTAAAGGTAAAAATCCTGAGCGCCATGCTTATGTGAACAGCATATTTGTGTATTTACGGTAAAGTCATTCTGGTAATTTTACAGTAATTTACAAGGATTACTGTGTGAAAGGGGCTAGCGCGTAATGAATACATGGTGCTATGTAGGTGTTGTTTGGAACAAAGTATCAGGCCTCTAAAGCCGCGTTTCCCCCGCAATTTCCAGGAACTATTTGTCCCAGGAACTTTTTTCATAGGAGCTTTTTTTGCCCCAGACTGCTTGCTTACTGCGTTTCCACCGCGGACTAAAGTCTGCGCATTTGTTTTGAGTGCGTTTTGAGTTTTGTATGGTGGAGATTCTGCTTGTGTCCAATTGCTTTACTAACGAGGTAATTAACAAAACGGCAGAAAAGAGACGAGCACCCAAAACGTATTCAGAAAGCTCGTAATGCTAGATATAAAAGTAGACGTTTGTTTTCAGCGGACCGTGAGATGGATGGGACTAACGCGCACCATCGGGCAGAAAGAACCAGTGAATAATGTGTGAAATTTTGGGAAATTACCGAGGCTCAATAGTGGACTCAACAATGCTCATTGTGCAACTAAGTTTTTGGGAAACCCACCACTGCCTGTTGCTAGGCAACTGCACAACTGTTCAAACCCACTACTATAAAGGTTGTGATTAGACTACAGCCCTTCCAGCATGATAGCGCTCGCATGTCACAGTATATCAAAAGTTATACCTGCTCATAAAAATGGCACTCTCTATAAAAATAATAAAGATATATTTGAAAGCCAAGCATGCACCTAAAAACGAAGGGTTAGGGTTACTTTTTGAAGCTCATTATTGGGAAAGATTAAGCAGAATATCTATATACTTTAAGGTATCAAATATGACATCAAAATTATTTTTATGCTATTTTTATGCCGCTTTGCATCATTTTTGGAAAAGTAAAAAGTGAACAAATGAACGTGAAAATAGGTTGGTGTGTCTCATTTCACCGTCAGAGAGAAGAGCGTGAAAAAGCGCAACAGGTATCTTTGCATCAATACTGCAGAAAAGGAGTAGGCTTATTGGAAACATTTCAGATATTTTAGTATCGATACATATCTAATATTGATATTTTTGACAACACGACTACTATTTCTTTTTTTAAATGTATCTTTTTGGTGTTTTGCAGAAGAAAGCCAGTCATGCAGTTTTGGAACGATATACGATGAAAAATTGCCATTCAAGTGTGATTAGATTTTAAAGCATTCATTATTCAACTCCATCAACCAGGTAGATCTGAACAGCTGGTTATTTACTGTTTTGTTCAAAATGAACCAACAACCAATGTGCCTCGAACCAGACATGCAGTATAATTTACATAAATTACAACTTTCATCTTATTGCACACGCAATGTTCATGAAAGTTTGCAATTATCCTTATGTCTCTGAAGTGAAACAAAAGATATTTTCCGCAAATTTAGTGGCATGTGGCAACAACAACAGCACAGAGATTGTACAAGTCTTGTGAGGAACAGATAGCAATCCGATTAAGGGATTGCCATGGGTTTCCTTGGAGTGAAAAACATTTCGATTGGGGAAGTCCTTGGCAGAACACGACATGCTGCCAGATGCTGCGCTGCTGGCATTGATAAGATTTGTTGAGAAATCTCAGTTCTTTGCCAAATTAACTTTTACCTACCATATGTGTTTCACCACTTTATTATTATTTTTATCTCAAACCACAAAATTCATTGAAGCTGAATGGATCTCCAAAAAATACATTGCTAGCTGTACTCTCTAAATGTGTCATTCTCTGATGTTGTTTACTTCTGAACATGTGCACTTTATTGCAGAATTATTTAATAATTTACACAGTCAATGCATTATATAACTGTCAGTCCCTATACACAGAACCAGTCAAAACACTGATTTTCTTTGGGGGAAACATTTATATATATATATATATGAAGAGTTCAGATGCAAAAGCCTCTAAATGCCATTTGAAATTTTCTTCTTTAATGATGATTTTTATCAAACTTGTATATTTAAGTCCAGTAATTTCACTTAAATGGCAATGATAGTTACCTATTATTGTTATTTAAGTGAAATTACTGAACTTAAATATACAAGTTTGATAAAAATCATCATTAAAGAAGAAAATTTCAAAAGTCATTTAGAGGCTTTTGCACCTGAACTCTTCATATATATATATATATATATATATCCTAGTCCTTAAAAAAAGTAGCTATAGAATAGAGATTAATGAAGTTTTCTTCAAAGAAAGCTAATTAATCACTTACTTTTCTTTGTGGGCCCCTTATATAAGGATTAAACTGCCATGACATCCAGTCCAAATCACTGCTCAGAAAGAGAGAGATAACATATCCATACTTTTTTTCTGTCCTACAGTGAGATAACGGAGTACAGAGAAACCCGTTTAAACTCCCTCTCACGTGGCATTCATATCTGATGACCATATGCTCAGGGGTTTGCCATTGCATTAAGGCTATAAGACTTGGTTTCAATGTAATTATAGCGTTTCATTTTACAGCTTTAATTTTAGTAACCAAATTTTCTTCCATTAAGTGAAACTTAATTTTCTAAAAATCTGTTCATTAATGGTTTTGAAATTTACGTCATTGCCGTTTTGTTCCAAAATATTCCAAAAAAGTTCTGTCAAAAAGCTCTTATCAACAGATAAGCCAAATATTCACTCTGCTCATTTTCATTTAGTGAAAATAAATGGAGATGTTATGGACCAAAATCTGTGTACTTTTATAATTTGATTATAAGTTTGACAGCTCCGTCCGCATTCATTTTGACTGAATGAAAAAAAGCTGTATAAACATTCTTCCTAACATCTCTTTTTGCTTTCCGAGAAGAAAAGGTCAAACAGGTTTGAAACGTCATGAGGTAAATGATGTTTCGATTCAATGATTGTAATCAAGTCATGACATCACACTACGAAAAAATCACAAAGTGTTCAGATCAAATCTGCCATCGTCTACAAATACACTTTTTTGTCCCTTTGTTGTCCTGGGATTTTTTTTCTCATATTGAACCTCTGTATTTAATCCGCTTTCACTTCCCTTTAAAAGTCCCAGGAGCTTGAAAGGGCTCGCAGGATCTCTATCATCTCAAGGCAGGGTGCTTCTAATACACGCAGAAGCCCTGTTTGATGTATGAAG